TTGTTGATTCTTTGAAGTATTTCCTGTGCGTTTGGTTTTTGTTCGTGAACTCTCTGCCTGCCCCTGTGTCTTCAAGCTTTCTACCTACTTTCTCTTCCAGTAGATTTAGTGTTTTTGTTTTATTAATTTTTTTATTCTTTCTGTTTTAATATTTAGATCTTTGATCCATTTTGACTTTAGTTTATCGTATGGTTGTAGACACGAGCCTATTTTTAGTCTTTGTCAGCCACCTTATCTTTGACAGAGGGGCCAAACATGTTTACTAAAGAAAGGTAGTTTCTTTAATAAATGGTGCTAGAAAGACTGGCTTCCACATGCTGAAGACTATAACTAGGCCCATGTCTCTCCATATACTAAACTAAAATCAAAATGGATCAAAGATCTAAATATTAAAACAGAAACATTAAATGTGCTGGAAGAGAGAACAGACAGAACTGTTGAAGACATAGATGCAGGCAAAGACTTAATGAACAAAATCCCGATCGCATGGGAAATATTACAGAGAGTCAACAACTTCGACTCATCTTTCAAAAAGCTTTTGCACAGCAAAAGAAATCACCAACAGAGCAAAAGGACAACCCACCATGGGAAAAAATTTTAGCCAGTTGTTCCTCAGACAAAAGGCTAATACCTAGAACATATGAAAAACTGAATAATCATGGTCTCCCAAATTCAAAGACCCAATCCAAAAATGGGCATCTGAGATGAATACACAGTTTTCAGATGAAGAAATACGAATGGCAGGTAAAAATATGAAAAAATGCTTAACATCACTGGTCATTTGAGAGAAGCTTGACCTAATCATTCCACAACCAAAGCATCATACTTTATCCCATAAATACGTGTGATGCAAAGGAAATGCCATCTAGGGTTTTCACGCTCTACTTTAAGACACTCTAGAAAAAAAATTACAGCTCCCTTCCTTCCTTTTGAGACAGGGTCTTGCTATGTAGTTCAGGCTGGTCTTGAGCTCACTTTGTAGCCCAGGCTGGTCTCGAACTCATAAGATATGACCTGAAAGAATAAATAAAATCTGAAAGGTACAATAGATACTGTGAAAGGGAAAGAAACTGCTCAAAGGGAAAGAACAACTAGGATGAGAGAAAGGAGAAAAGAAAGAAAGAAGGAATGGAAAAAAATATGTATGTATACACACAGGAACTCATAACTATCCTCCTGCCTACACATTATTACTCTTTGATTTGTGTCATTTTCCGTTTGGTAAGTATGAGGGCTATGTCTAATATAAGTTACTCATAGGAAATGTCATGGAAGGCAGAACTGATGTGAATTCATTCATTCTGTGTATTTTGTTCTCTACAGGTGGTCCATGAGTTGGAACTTTATAACACAGGATATTATTTAGGCATGTTCATGAATTCTTTTACTGTCTTCCAGGTATGTTTAGTTTGTTGTATAATTTGAAAGGATATTAATACCTTGTACTACTGGAAACATGGTTGGAATTAATGGTCATCATGAATTGTTAATCTTTTGCTAATGTGTCACTGAACTGCACTGTTACATAGGTATAATTTTAATGGAAAGATAATACCTCGGTTTTAAAAACAAATAGAAGCCAGGTGTGGTGGTGCACGCCTGTAATCCCAGTACTAGGGAGGCTGAGGCAGGAGGACCATTGCAAGTTTGAGGCCAGCCTGGGTTACAAAGTGAACTCAAGGCCAGCCTGAACTGTATAGCGAGACCCTGTCTCAAAAAGACAAACACAACAAAACAAAACAAAACAAAAAAACAAAAAATAACAAAATAGAAACATCCACCAGAATAGAGAGATGAATGGGATTATCATTGCACAGAGAATTTATTTTCCTTCCTCTTTGACTTTGAAGTAGCTGTTTATACACGGATGTGTGTCTGGCGCTGTGGGGGAGGGGAGAGAAGACGAGAACGTAGGTACCTAAGCTCTTAAAAATCAGCAAGGGTGAGTCAGGGTATGGGACACTTGTGTGATTACAGGACATCGAAACTTTTATTTAAAAGAAACTTGAAATTAATTTTTTTAGGAATGTGGCCTCTGGGTGTTGACGGATGCCAACCTCGTGATGGATGATATTGACGGTGTGTGTAAGTAGGACTTGGCAATGTGCTTATGAGTTACTTGTCTTTTTCTCTGTGTACTTAGCAGCATTCATGTGGGTCCGAGTCCCTCCTGGTTGGGTTCTGTAATACTGGGATGGAATCTGCAGCGCTCCTTTGGGCTCCTGTGTGATCTTTGAAACGAATGCTTCCCGTTTGCTTTTTTGTCATTTTTTTGAAGTTATATTGGAAGTTCCCGAGATTCCAATTTATCCTGCAACCTGTGCTTCTATTTTAGAATGAGTTAAGAGGAGCAACATTTTTTTCTTTTTTTTTGAGAGAGAGTCTCACCATATAGTTTGGGCTGGCCTTGAGCTCACTTTGTAGCCCACGCTGCCTTAGAACTCACAGCGATCCTCCTGCCTCAGCCTCCTGAGTGCTGGGATTACAGGCATATGCTATCACACCTGGCAGCAACATATTTTTGAAACATTTTCTTTTCCAGTTTTTTGATAATTCACCTAGAAAATAGCTCAGATGCCACAGTAGGATGCTTCTCTCTCTCTCTCTTTCTCTCTCTCTCTCTCTCTCTCTGTCTTTCTCTCCCTCCCTTTCTCTCTGTCCTTCCTAGGAGGGTCATATCTGTATCCCAGTTCCATGAATTACTCCATCCTGTTGGCCACTCAGGAATAAGAAGTATGCTTTTAGGGGAGAAGTCATCATTTTCTACCACTGTGCTCTACCCCCAGTCCTTTTAAAAATGTTTATTTGGAGACAGGGTTTGGATAAGTTGCCCAGGCTGGGTGTGGCTTTGTGATTTTTTTCTCTCAGCCTCAGAAAATGTTTTGACTGAAGAAAATACATAGGTAAGAATGGTTAACATAGAAGTTTCTCTTTTTTCAGGCAAAGTCATACTAGTATATTATCTGGAGAGCGTCTTTGAGATTGGTCACCATTTCTCTCCCCGTCCTCGCTTCTGCCAGGGGCTCTCGGTTACTCTGCACTCGACCCCTACTGTCTGGCTCTGGGCTGTCCTCGCCACCACAGACACCTTGAGCCCTGCCCTGAAGTTCAAAAGAGAGTGTCACAGTCTTCCTGATTTACGGGGTTGTCGGGATCTCTGTGTATTTAAAACACGTGCTACATTGGACTGTCCTCGTGGAACGCTCAGTCCTGTGCAATCTTCCAGGCATCTGTCTTTACCCATTTTTCAGTCGCAGCTTCTGCTCCTCTTGTTCCTCTCTCCAAGCCAGGTCCTGCTGATCCGCACTGTGATCCTCATTTTATTGCCAGTAGTATAGTTGGGGCTCTGTATCTGTGAGTTCCATATTGGTTGTTTTTTTTTTTTTTTTTTTGTACTGGGAGTCGAACTCAGGACCTTGTGCTTGCCAGGCAGGCACTTGTGCTACTGAGCTATATTCCCGGCTCCACATTGGTGGATTTAGCAAACAGTGGATTGAAAATATTTTCAAAGACACAGTGTTTGAGCTGGGTGTGGTGGCCCACACCCGAATCCCAGCACTCTAGGAGGTTGAGGCAGGAGGACTGAAAGTTCTAACTCAGCTTGGGCCACTTACTGGTTTAATGAGACCCTTTCTCAAAATAAAAGAAAAAGGCTCAGGCTGCAGCTCAGTGCAGAGACCTTGGGTTCAAAACTCAGTGTCAAAAAAAAAAAAAAAAAGATTTCTGTCCTGAACCAGTTGAGATTCTTTCCTGTTTCTTGTTATTATTCCCTGAAAAACACAGTATGACAGTTATTTATACCGTAGTAAGTATTCTAGGGAGCCTAGAGATGATTTGAGGCATAGGAGCAAGTGTGTAGATTACGTGCACGTAGCACGCCATTTTTCTAAGAGGTTGCAGCATCGGGAGATTTTGGTGTCCACGAGGTCCTGGAGCCAGTCTTCCACGGATGCCAAGAGATGGCTGCACTTACTCTCTTTTACCTTTCCCGAGAAACTTGACTTTTCACAGTCTCGGAAGAAACCTGACATTCCCACTAGCATATTATGTCTCTGGAAACTTTCCGTGTGATAGACCCTCATTTTTCTGCCTTTCTTCTGGCTCAGGGTAAGTAGAACTCGGGATTTGCTGGGCTATTTTCAGACTTTGTATTCAACAGCCCTGCTTTAAGAGCATTCTTACTACTTGAAGCTCAGAAGTTTCAACCGTAGCTTCTTCAATCAGCATGCATGTCACTACTTTTTTTTTTTTTTTTTGAGACAGGGTCTCCCTATGCAGTTCAGGCTGGCCTTGAGCTCACGTTGTAGCCCAGGCTGGTCTCAAACTTGCAGCGATCCTCCTGCCTCAGCCTCCTGAGTGCTGGGATTACAGGCATGCGCCACCATGCCTGGGGCTATTGCTTCTTTTTTTTTAACCTGTATACTGCTTCTCCTGAGTCTTCCACCTGGGAGGTTCGGGTGTCCATGTGTTTGACGCCATCTGGTGGGCACGTGGTGTGGGGCCCAGGCCAGTGTCATCACTGAGCACTTCCGTACCCCGGACACTTCCTGACTGCCACCTTCCTGCTCCCTTAGTGCTGTACATCTATTAACTGTCTTCTTTGGTCGCCAGTCTTTTGGTTTTCAGGTCTGGTTATTGACTTCTTCTGCCTTCACTTTTGTCCAGTCCCTAAAGCAGGACCATCTTGGTCGCGCTCCCTCTCAGGGTCTTGTCTGTCCAGCACGTCCTCCCCACCACGCTCGCCCTGGAGCAACTTGACCACTCGTCTTATGCTTTTGTTTCTCTACCCTGATACCTCACAGATACCTCAGGTCCAGGGTGTAGTAAATAAGCTCATAACTTCTCTCCTTTCCGTGAGATGATGTAACTGATACAATTCCTTGACTTGATATGGTTTCATATCTCTTGTAAAGAAGTAGTCATCTCCTCAGACGTCCATCTTTATTTTCTTCCAGAACTCATTCCATTTTTTTGTGTGTGTGATTTTGAGACAGGGTCTCATTCTGCATTTGAGGCCGGCTTTGAGCTCGCTTTGTAAACCAAGCTGGCCTCAAACTCACAACAATTCTCCTGCCTCAGCCTTCTGTGTGCTGGGATTACGGGTGTGTGCCACCATGCCCAGCCTTTTTTTTTTTTGAGACACGTTCTTGCCATGTAGTTCAGGCTGGTGTTCAGTTCACTATGTAGCCAAGGCTGGCCTCAAACTCACAGCAATCCTCCTGCCTCAGCCTCCCGAGTGCTGGGATTACAGGGGTGCGCCACCATGCCTGACTAAAGGGTTTTTTTTTAATGTGATAGAAAGGGTACACTAGGAAGAGTTTCCATTTTGCCTGATGTGGTTTGCATTCCATTTTCCTTAAGTCTCCAAGTGAAAAGCATCCCACGCAGAGAGGGAAAAAGTGAGCTAAGTGCCATCATATCCAGAAGATGACAGTGAGTATCAGGTAAAAGTGGTGTAAGTGAAGACAGAGAGAATGGTGGAGTGCAGATTTTAAAATACCAAGTTAGGTCATGCTGAAGGATTTGGACTTAATCTTTTAAACAATGATGATCCAGCGAGGGTTTTAAAATACATTAACAACATGACCTAAGCCGTGCTTTATAAAGACAGCTTTGGCATCAGGGCGGCTTACAGCTGGGGAAAAACAACGAGTTGTAAGCTTCTGAGACAGTCAAGGAGCGCTCATGACAGCAGAAACGCAGCCAAGGTCAGGAGGGGACAGGCTCAGGAGTAGCAGTGCCCTGACCCAGCGTGGGCGTCCCGCTGCACAAGGGATGCAGCTCCTCCCCAGCACTGCTCTTAGCATGGTCCTCAGTGTGTGTCTTGGCTGGCTTTCTGGGCCAGCTGGGAGTCCCCAGGCCTCACCCATGCAAAGCATGCAAGAAATGTCATCACTCCCTATTGAATACTGAGTGAGTGCCCTACACCTAAGGAATGGGATAAAAGAAATTGCAGGCTTACAAGTGCCAAACATGTCCAAAGCACTTTAAGTTGCTGAAATAATACCTGTATGTGAAACTGCATTTGTAGCCATTCCATGCAGGGTGATTCTATGATTTTTTTTTCCAGTGTCTTTGAGACAGGGTCTCACTGTGCTGTTCAGGCTGGCCTTGAGCTCACTTTGTAGTCCAGGCTGGTCTAGAACTTGCAACGATCCTCTTGCCTCAGCCTCCTGAGTGCTGGGATTATAGGTGTGCTCCACAATGTCTGGCGATTCTATGATTTTGTATTGACCCTTATAACAATTTGATGAGACATGTAATATCATTCAGTCAATATTACAGAGGAAAACTTGTGGTTGAGATAGTTTAATTAATTTGCCCAGGGTCAGAAGGCCAAAATTTAAAGCCAGGAATGTGTGAAAGTAAATTTCTTTTCTAGGCACTATGTTACTTCATTAAGGAATTAAGTATAAGGAGTTAAGAATGAGTTCTGAGCTGGGTGAGGTGGTATGTGCCTGTAATCTCAACATTTAGGAGGCTGAGGCAGGAGGCTCACTGTGAGTTTGAGGCCAGCCTGTGCTACATGGTGAACTCAAGGCCAGCCTGAACTACATAGCGAGACCCTGTCCCCTGCCCGCCTCCCAAAAAAAAGAGGAATGGGTTCTGGAAGGAATTAAAGGTGGACATCTGAGATGACTATTTCATTACAAGAGATATGAAATCGTATCAAGTCAAGGAATTGTATCGGTTACATCATATCATGTAAAGGAGGTGCTCCTCTTT